AGACATGGAACCAACCCAAATGCCCATCGATGATAGACTGGACATGGAAGATGTGGCACATATACACCATGGAATACTATGCAGCCATAAAAAACGATGAGTTCATGTCCTTTGTAGGGGCATGCATGAACCTGGAAACCATCATTCTCAGCAAACTGACACAAGAACAGAAAATCAAACACTGCATGTTCTCACTCATAAGCAGGTGTTGAACAATGAGGACACATGGACATAGGGAGGGGAGCATCACACACTGGGGTCTGTGGGGGGGAACTAGAGGAGGGAGAGTGGGGGTTGGGAAGTTGGAGAGGGATAACATGGGGAGAAATGCCAGATATAGGTGACAGGGAGGAAGGCAACAAACCATATGGCCATTTATGTACCTATGCAACAATCTTGCATGTTCTTCACATGTACCCCAAAACCTAAAACACAATTAAAAAAAAAATATATATATATATAGAGAGAGAGAGAGAGAGAGAGTAGACTATTACTATAAGACTTTTTTCATGTAAGCTTCATGGTAACCATGAAGAGAAAGCTTTCAGTATATACACAGAATATAAATAGAAAAGAATTTAAATATGCAAACAAAAATGCAAGTAAATAACACAGAAAGCAAGAGAGAAAGAAAGGAACAAAGAATTACAAAATTGTTTAAAAAATTCAAATGTAAATTGAATAAATTTTTCAATCAAAAAGTACAGAGTATCTGAACTGGTAAAATTCAAAATAAACATGATAGAATAATATACTCCCCCCAAGAGGCTTGTTTTAGCATTAAAGGCACACATGAGACTGAAAGTGAAGGAAATTAAAAATATATTTTATGCAAATAGAAACAAATAGAGAGCAGGAATAGTTATATCAGACAAAATGAACTTAAGAACTGTAAAAACAGACAAAAGAAGTCATTTTGCAACAATTAGGATTCAATTCATCAAAAAGATTTAACAGTTGTAAATCTGCAATAACCTGATATCAGAGAACTTAAATATATCAAGTAAATATTAGTAGGACACAAGGGAGAGATATATAAGAATAAAATAACAGCAAGTGACATTCATATTCCAATTTTAGCTATGGATAGATCATGGAGATAGAAAAGCAATAAGGAAACACTGGACATGAATTACACTTTAGATAAATAGATCTTACAGACATATATATGATATTACATATAATAGCAACAGAATACACATTCTTCTCTAGCTTGCATAGAGAATTCTCAAGGATAGATCACATTTTAGGCCACAAAACAAGTTTGAATAAATTGTAAAAGATTAAAATCACATCAAATTTCTTTTTTGATCATACTGTTATAAAAATAGAAATAAATACCTTGAGGAAAATTGGAAATTTCACAAATATGTGAAATTTACACATTATCCTGAACATGACTATACAAGAAAATATAAAACTCACTGTTGAGGTAAATACGAACTCAAAGAAATCCAATATGATAAAGAAAAATAAGAAAATAAATTAAATATATCTTTAAATAAACACAAATATAAAGACAACATATCAAAACTTATGGGATGGAGCAAAAGTATTTTAGAAAACTTTTAGAAAAGTATTTTAAAAACTTTTCCCAGAGAAAAGTTTTTAGCAATGAATTTCAATATGGAGAAATAAGGAAGACCTCAAATAAACAACCTAACTTTATGCCTCAATGAATTGAGAAAAAAAAATAGCACAAAGCAGAAGAAAGTAATGATTATAGAAGATTACAGAATAAAACAATAATATCATAGCAGAATAAATGAAATATAGACCCACAAAGACAATCTTTAAAAATCAATGAGAGTTGTTTTTTGAAAAGAGGCAAGAAAATAAACCTGTGGATGGACACACTCAAATAAAATCATAAGTGAAAGAGGAGGCATTATCACTGATACGAAAGAAATACAAATGTTCAAAAACTACTATATATAATTATACACCAAAAATTTAATATACTAGAAGAAATATACTAAGAAATTCTTAGTAACATACAACTTACCAAGATGAAATCACAAAGAAACAGAAAACCTGAACAGCAGAATAAACAGTAAGGCAATTGAAGCAGTTATCAAAAACCTCTTAACAAAGACAAGTCAAGCACCAACTGGATTAGCAGGTGAATTTTACCAAGCATTTAAAGAAGAATGAATGCTAGTTCTTCTCAAACTCTTCAAAAAAATGGAAAAAAAAAATCCAAACTCATTAGATGAGACTAGAACTACCCTGATACACACATCAGAAAATGAAAACATCAGAAAAAAGAAAAAAATTCAGGGCAATATCCATGATGAACATAAATGCATAAATTGTCAGCTAAATATTAGCAAATTAAATTCGACAGCATAGTAATAGGATTATACATCATGATCAAGAAGGATTTATCGTTTCCATGCAAGAATGGTTCAACATATGCAAATTGGTACATGTGATCCACCACATTAACAGAGTAAAGGATAAAAATAATATGATTTATATTGAGATCCAATAAAAGCCTTTGACAAAATTTATCACATCTTTATCATAAAAAAACTCTCAACAAATTATTTATAGAAGGAATTAACCTTAACTTTATAAAGGCTATATATGACAAGCCCACAGCTTACATCATATTTATTGGTGAAAAGCTGATATATTTTTCTCCAAAATCAGGAATAATACAGGGGTGCTCACCTTACCACTTTTGTTCGACATACTACTAGATGGCCTCGCCAAATTCAGTTAGACCAGAAAAAGAAAGAAAAAACATCTACATTATAAAGGAAGAGTGATCTTTTTCTGTATTTAGACATGACATAATCTGACATATTTAAAACCCTGAAGATCCAACAAAATAACTATTAGAACAAATAAATTCAGTAAAGTTGCAAGATACAACATCAACAAGCAAAATTCAGTAGTCTTTCTATACACTAATAACAAACTATCAGAAAAGGAAATGAGAAAAACGATTTTATTTTAAAAAGCATCTAAAGGAATACAATATTTGGGAATATATTTAACCGAGGAAGTTAACTGAGAGAAATTGAAGAAGACACAAAACCAGAAAGCTATGTTCTTTACATGAACTGGAATAATTAACACTATTAAAATGTCCATACTGCATAAAGTGATCCACAGATTCAATGCAATCCCTATCAAAATTTCAATGGCATTTTTAACAAAAATTTTAAAAAATCTCAAAATCCATATGGAACTACAAGAGACCCTAAATAAACAAAGCAATCTTCAGTAGGAAGGCATCACACTTCCTGATGTCAAACTACATTACAAATTTCTAGTAATCAAAACAGCATGATACCAGCACAAAAGACAGCATATAGAACAGTGGGCCAGAATTGCTAGGCCAGAAATGAAACTATGAACATATGGTCAACTAAAGAATAAAACTGGACTTTTATCTTTCACCATACATAAAAGTTAAATGAATTATAAGCTTAAATGTGATGCTTAAAGCCATAAAACCACTAGAAAAATAAGAGGAAGAAATTCCTTGAGATTGGTCTTGAAAATGATTTATGATGTATGACACCAAAAGCAAAGGCAACAAATGTAAAAGTAAAGTGGGATTATTTCAAATCAATAAGTTTCTGCACAGTAAATGAAACAACCAACATAATGAAAATACAACCTATGAAATTGGAGAAAATATTTGAAAACCATGTGTCTGATAAAGGCTAAAGCTCATTTAAGAACTCAACTCAAAAGCAAAAATCCTCCACAAATAACACAATTTACAAATAGGTAAAGGACCTTAATAGACATTTTTTTAGAAGAAGATATACAAATGGCGAACAGGTGTATGAAAAAATGTTCAGTATTACAAATCATCAGGTAAATTCACATCAAACCACAATGAGATATCACTTCAGGTATATTAGGTGATTATTATCAGAAAAGCATCAATAAGAAATGTTTGTGAGGATATGGAGGAAAGAGGACTCTTTAAAACTTTTATATTAGGTTCAAGAAAGCTGTGCAGGTTTGTAATACAGGTAAAACTCGTGTCACACAGATTTTTACACAAATGAGAATTTTATATACTTTTGGTGAGAATGTAAATTTGTGTAGATATTATAAAAATAGTATGAAGTTACCTTAAAATATTAGTAAAACTTCATAAGTACCAGCAATCCCACTTCAATACCAAAGGGATATTGGTATTCATGTTCATAGCAGCATTATTCACAATAGTCAAGACATAAAGGCAATCTAAGTGCCTGTCATTGGAACAATGGTTAAAGAAAATGTGAGATAAATAAAAAATTAAATGTTTGTTATTCAGCCTTAAAAAAGAAAATTCTACCATTTATGACATAAATAAACCTAGAGGACATTGTACTCCATAAAATCAACCAGACACAGAAAGATAAATATTGTATGGTCTCACATGGGGAGTCTAAAAAAGTCAAACTCATAGAGACAGTAAGTAAAATAACAGTTTCGAGGGATGGGAAGTGGTTGGAGGAGGGAGAAAAAAGTTGGGCAGGGGAGATAATGATCAAAGTGTACAATATAAATAAGTTCTGGGGATCTAATGTACAGTGTAGTAACTATAGTAAATAATACTATCTTGCATATTTCAACTTTGCATAGACAGTAGATATTAAGTGTTCTCACCACACACAGATAAAAAGATAACTATGTGAGGTGATAGATATGTTAATTAACTCCATTGCTATAATAATTTCACAATGTTTACATATATAAGGCCATCACATTATACACCTTTAATATATATTATTTTTATTCAACAATTATACCTCAATGAAGATAGAGAAGAAAATACAAGATTTTGGAATTGTCTTCAGATACATCTGCAAAACAAATAGCATTCAGAGCATAGGAGCAAATTCTTGTTAGAACAATTCTAATCCCTTGGGTATGGGCTTTTTGGGTGACTGAGCTATGAACTTGGCCAAGCCCTCACACAGAGTTCAAAACAACTGTTCTTTGAAGTGGTGGATTTTCAGGAACATTTCTTCCTTCATTTATAGGCTTTCAGAGATGAAAATCTGTTGGATGACACGCAGCTTACCCTTTCAAAGTTCCTCAAGGACCCCGGGGAATGCAGCCATCTGGAATTTGCTGTCATGCTGTGATTTCTGCAGGTTTGTTTAACTTTTAATCTCTCCAGTCACATCTTTTATTATCCACTCTGTGCATAATTTTTGCATTATATAGTCCTTTTTTAAACAGTGAGCTGAAATAGCTCAATTTAATCACAAATGTGCCTCTGAAAGACTTAATGTCTTAAAAGTTATTTCCCTCCTTTCTCATGTTGAAAAAAAAAATACTGTGGCTGTATCAGATTTGCTGCTCACAAATCAATCCCATCCTCCTAAAGAATGCAGCAGAAAGCAGAATTTAATGAGAGCTAGATACTTTTAGAATTAATTAATAACATTTAAGATAGTTTTGATTTCTCTAATTATTTGCTATCTGTATTTTTGTGGGTGTTAAAGTCCATTTATTTTAGCTGTTTCTCATATTCCTAAACCACAGAATATTAAGACCAGAAAAAAGTTGCAGTTTACATAACTGTGGACAGAACACCTACTCTAAAAATGAGTTTCCTAAAGATTAATTCACTACCACATAACCTGTTTGCCTAAAACGTAATCCTTTTTCAAAATTGTTGCACATTTTCTCTCTCTTTTCTTTATACCAGCATTTGAAAAAAATAATTTTAATTTCAAGGTCACTTGCTAGTTTCTTCAAAAAAGGATTCCATCAGTTTCTTGCCATGACCACCACAACTTGAGGGGCTTGTACTAAGTATTTCTGCTTTACCCCTCACATGCACAGCTTTGCCTAACCCTATGTAAGTACTTGCATATTAAGTAATGGTCTTTTCAGCATCCACTTCTTTATTTGTCAAAGTCATGTATTCGATTACCTCACTATCTCATTCCTTTGTAGACTAGTTCTCTCATATTTCTATTCATATCATCAAAATTTTATTCCTAAGGATGGATACTCTGCTATAACACAAGCCATGAGCAGAATCCCACTCCAAGTTGAACAGAATATTCAAGGTCACCACTATACTGTATATCTGACTTAAAGCATTTCTCCTGTCATTCCTCAACTATAAGATCTTGCCAGCTTTTGTTTATTTTAACATCCCACTCCTTCCCAGTTACTTTTGTAACTGGGGGAGTGAGCATCTCCAGCCTCCAGTTCTGAAGAGGTTCTTAGTCTAGCTAACCCAGAACAATGGGGAAAGGGACCCTGGAGGCCCATGAGTTTGCCAGTGGAATAAGTATCATGGACTCAAAAAGTTTTGCAGAAAAGCGATTTGTGAGTGAGAGAGTGTGTGTGTGTGAGAGAGAGAGAGAGAGAGAGAGAGAGAGCACTCCCATGCTGTGGGAGGAGACCTAGAGAAGAAATCCGGGAGCAGCTGGAATTTTAACCCTTGAGTTATTCCCTCCCCATTCATGTTCTCGTCCAATGAGAGGAGTTCTTTCAAACTTCCTCTGGAGTGATTGATCTTTGACTGATACCAGATTGGCTGTTTGGTCCACAATTCTGAGTTACAGATCCCCCTACTCCCAGAGCTTTCCGTGGATTTTTTGGGACAAAGGAGCTTCACCTGTCTTTCTCTACCTAGCAGGTGCACAGGAAACCTAGACAAAGAACTTTACATTTGAAACCCCTGTGGTTCCCCAATGGAGGTGTGGAGCCAGGAAACTCCTGCCTTTGAAACCACGCCCCTCGCAGACCCAGGAAGAGAGGTCCCTCACTTTGATTGATATTTTTAACATCCACAGGCAACTGACAAAATCTTCTAAGCAAACATACCCTAGAATAACCACAGCAAGCCTTACTAAAGACTGGAATAAATAATCCATCATGTGAAGCCATATATGGAGATCCAACAGAAACAATAGCAAACAGGGAAAAATGACCTTTCCAAATGAAAAAAGCAAAAGCCAGTGATTGAATGCATGAGCTTGCAAATAAAGATTTAAAAATAGAAATTCTAATAAAACTCAGCAAACTCTAAGGAAACACAGAAAATCAATTCAAAACCTTAGAAAAATTTAACAAAGGAGGCTGGGCCCGGTGGCTCACGCCTGTAATTCCAGCATTTTGGGAGGCTGAGGCATGTGAATCATTAGGTCAGGAGATCGAGACCATCCTGGCCAACATGGTGAAATCCCACCTCTAATAAAACACAAATAATTAGCTGGGCATGGTGGTACAAGCCTGAAGTCCCAGCTACTTGGGAGGTTGAGGCAGGGGAATAGTTTGAACCCAGAATGCAGAGGTTGCAGTGAGCCAAGATCCTGCCACTGCACTCCAGCCTGGCGACAGAGCAAGACTCCATCACACACACACACACACACACACACACACACACACACACACACACACAGAGTAACAAAGGAACTGATATAATTTTAAAAACCAAACATAACTTCTAGAAAGGAGAAAGATATTTGTTGAACTGAAAAATGCATTAGAGGCTCTGAACGGCATAATGGATCATGCAGAAGAAACAATCAATGAGCTCTCCCGGCCACCCATGGTGAAACCCCGTCTCCACTAAAAATACAAAAAATAGCTGGGTTTGGTGGCACGTGCCTGTAATCCCAGCTACTCGGGATGCTGAGGCAAAAGAATCCTTGAACAAGGGAGTTGGAGGTGGCAGTGAGCCAAGATCATACCACTGCACTCCAGCCTGGTGACAGAGCAAGACTCCATCAGTTAAAAAACAAAACAAAACAAAACAAACAAACAAAAAAAACAGGAACACTCTATGAGCTCAAAGACGGGATATTGGAAAATAGAGCCAGATAAAAAAATTTTTCAAAATATGGGAAGAAACAAAATCACCTGAAAGATATACAGAATAACCTTAAAAGAGAAAATTTAGAAGTTATTGGCATTCAAGAGGGATTTGAGGAAGATAAAAAAATATTCAAAGAAATGTTAACAGAAAGCATTCCAAACCTAGAGAAATCTACAAATATCCAGGTACAGGAGGTCAGAGATCACCAAACAGATTTAATCCAAATAAAACTACTCCAAGGCATATAACAAAGTCCCAAAGAGGAAGGGCAAAGAGGAGATCCATCAAGCAGCAAGTGGGCGGGGGGACCTAAATGAGGTGAGTAAAGGTCACCTGAAGCAGACCACCCAGAGTCAAAACTCCTAAATCTGAGGAACTTAGAAGTAACTGGAGTTCCCTATTATCTAAGGTGGCATCTGGTTCCAGATTTCTTTCCCAAATTTATAAGTAACTAGAATTATTATGCATCTCTGGAATGCATGCATGTCAAAACGCATTGTGCAACCCTTGCTGTCATTAAGGCATGAAAATTTCTACAAATGTAATCACCTATGTGGCTAATACAGTCCAAATTACCCTTAAGCTCCTGCTTTAAGGTCCTTAAATAACACTAAGGAAAAATTCACCATGGTGCACGCAGTCCCTTCTTGCAGAGATGGCCCACTGTACACTTCTGAAGTATTATTTTTTTTCTAATAGAACTATCATTTTTCAAACCTATACTGTTAGTAAATTCTTCTTACCAGCCTGTGAGTTGATCACTTTCTGATGCCAGGGTTCTGACACCTTAGCCAGCACAAATAACATATAAAGGAGCTTTGATTTCCCTGGCAAAAGACTTCTCAATGGAAAATATATAGACCAGGAGAGAATGTGGCAACATATTCAAAATGCTGAATGAAGACAGTAACCTGTCAACCAAGGTTACTGTATCCATCAGATCACTCTTCAAATATGAAGGAGAGATAGTGTCTCTTGCCCAGACAAATAAAAATATAGGGTCTTTATCACTGCTAAACTTCTCTACATAGAAACTAAAGAGCGTTCTTTAATCTGAAAGAAAAAATTGCTAACATACAAAAAGAACACATTTGAAGCTTTTAAAATTCAATGAAAAATGTAAGTATAACAACAAACTGAATACTCTAATATTATAGTTGTGGTGTGTAATCCACTCATATCGCTAGTGTCAATATTAAACAAATCTGACAAAAAAATCATAACTACAACTTATTAAGAAATAAACAACATAAGAAGATGGTAATTAAGACAATAAAAAGTCAAAATGTGAGAAGGATTGGGTTTTAATGTAAAGGTCTTAGTCTTCCTTTTGTTTGTTCTTTTTATCTAATCAGATTTATCTTGCCATCTGTTCAAAATAATTTGTTGTAAGACTCCTTTTTTCCAAGACTTGTTGTAACCACAAAGTAAAATCCTATAATAGAATAAAATTTAAAAAGCAAAAACTTAAGACGTATTGCCAGAGAAATATCACTTAATCACAAAGGAAGATAGAAATAAGAGAAGAATGGAACAGAAGAGTCACAAAACAACTGAAGAACCAGTAACAAATGGTGGTTGTGAAGTGTTTCCTATCAATAATAGTATCAAATGTAAGTGGACTAATAGCTCCAATTAGAAGACAGAGTGGTCAAATGGATGGAAAAATAAGACCTAACTATATGTGTCTACAAGATATCCACTTCACATATGAAGACACATGTAAACTAAAAGTAAAGGAATGGAACAAAATATCCCATGCAAATGGAAGTCAAGAAATATTAAAGTGGCTATACTTATAATAGGTAAGATAGCCATGTAAAAAGAGAGGGAAAAAGTCAGTATATGATGATAAAGCAATCAGTTCAGCAAGAGGATATAACAATTATGAATATATATGCATCCAACATGTCATACTAAATATATAAAACAAACATTAATACTAAAAAAGACATACACTAAAATACCTTAATATTAGTGGACTCCAATATCCCACTGTAATTAATGAACAGATCATTTCAATGGAATTTCAACAAAGAAACATGGAGTTGGTTGGGTGTGGTGGCTCATGCCTGTAATCTCATCACTTTGGGGGGCCCAGTCAGGTGGATCACAAGGTCAAGAGATTGAAACCATCCTGGCCAAGAGGGTGAGACCCCAACTCTACTAAAAATACAAAAATTAGCTTGGTGTGGTGGCAGGCGCCTGTAGTCCCAGCTACGTGGGAGGCTGAGGCAGGAGAATCACTTGAACCCAAAAGGCAGAGGTTGCAGTGAGCTGAGATTGTGCCGCTGCATGCCAGCCTGGTGACAGAGAGAGACTCTGTCTCAAAAACATAAACATAATACATCACATACACATAATTAAAAACAAAAAACTATACATTCATCTCTATAGATGCAGAAGAAGCATTTAATAAAATCCAGCTTCCCTTTCTGGGAAAAAAAAAAAAAAACCCTCAACAAAGTAGGCATAGAAGGGACTTACCCCCAATTAATAAAAGCCACATATGGCAAACCCATAGTCAACATCATACGGAATAGGGAAAAGTTGAAAACATTTCCCCTGAGAACTGGAACAAGACAAGGGTACTCACTTTCACCAATTCTATTCAACATAGTACTGTGAGTACTAGCTAGACTAATCAGGAAAGAGAAAGAAATGGTGTCCAAATTGGAAATGAGATAGTCAAATTATCACTGTTCATCAAAGATAGGATCATATTCCTAGAAAATCCTAAGAACTCTGCCAAAAGATTTCTAGATTTAATAAATAAATTCAGTAAAGTCTCAAATTATAAAATCAATGTATACAAATCAGTATCACTGCTATACATCAACAATGACCAAGCTGATGATCAAATAAAAAACTCAATTCCTTTTCAAAGAGCTGCATAAAAACAAAAACAAAACAAATACAACCTAGACATATACTTGAGAAAGGAGGTGAAGGTTCTCTAAAAGAAGAAGTACAAAATACTGCTGAAAGAATTTGTAAATGACACAAATAAATGGAAATACATCCCACACTTATGGATTGGAAGAATCAATATACTAGAAGTTATCACACTGCCCAAAGCAATCTATAGATACAATTTGTAATGTTTGATAGTTTCAAGTATTGGTGACAACATGTAGCATGAGAAATTTAAGCACCAATATTGGGAGTGTCTGTCAGGGATACTTGCACCAACATGTAACTGATACAAGCATCTAGAAAAACTGCCATTATTTAATATGTTGAAGATATACAACTATATTTTGTTTTATTGCATTTTGCTGTTTTGCACTTTGCAGATATTGCATTTTTCACAAGTTGATGATTTATGGTGATCCTGCATTGAGCAACTCTATTGAGAAGGTTTTCAAACAGCAGGTGCTCACCTTGTATCTGTGCCACATTTTGCAACTGTTGCAATATTTCAAATTTTTACATTATTTATATATCCATCACAGTGATTTGTGATTAGTGATCTTTGATATTACTATTGTAATTATTTGGAGATGACACAAACTTGTTACTATATACGATGGCAAACTTATTTGTGCAGTTGTGAGATATGTAACTTGGGTGTTATTTTCCTCTGATGTAATCCTTTTGAGAAGGCAATCATCTGCGTTTTTACCATGTAACCTGGTTAAGGTGGCCTCTTGCTTGTGTACCAGTACTTCCTGTTTTCCTTTAACTTAACTTTTGCTTTCAGGCTCAAATATCGATTTAACAGCATATCCTTTACATTTTTTTCTTGTGGGTGAACTCAGTCATAGGTATGAATTCATTTGCTTATAAGTGAAAAATTATCTGCTGCTTAAAGATAATCTTGCCTTTCTTTACTTCCCTAAGTTAGACAATAGCATACAAGGGGCATTTTTCAATTAGGCTAACAACCAATCTAATATAGCATTCAATGTGTCATAGTACTGTCAAGATCAATTTTAGTATATTTTATGTTATATATTTAGGATATATCACATCATAGTAATTTACATTTTCAAAATTATATTGTACATATTCTCAGAACACAGGCAGTATCTGCATTAACAACCACAGTAATCGTGTCATGTGAAACACTTCAAAAACATTTTAACACTTGTTCTGATATTCTCATTTGTTTGCCTCTTAAATCAGTCAAACTTTTATGTAAACACATTGCAAATCTATCTGTCTTCACAAGCTTGTTCACCAATTACTCTCACTGTACAATCTATGCCTTAACAATATGATTCCACATATTTTATTGGACCTAGGACCCCTCTAAAAGAATCACTCTAGCCTGCCTTTTTACATTTTTCTTTAGGTAATAATTACACTCTA